AAGTGATTAATCGCATCCAAATTAAAAGTTTTTGTTTACATAATATATGTGTGTGTACTGTGTATATTTATTTGTATATATAAATAAACACACACACATACAGTATATATTTCGAAAATATTTACATGTATATATTTGTATTCATATAATTTATATTATATATAAATATATTTAAAATATAAGCATAACATATTTTTCATAAATATATACATGTGTCTGTATTTATATATACATAATATATTTGTGTGCACTGTGTTTATTTATTATGTAAACAAATTTTTTTATTTTGGATTCGATTAATCGGGACTAATTGTTTGGCAGCACTAATATATATATATACACACACACACACACACACACACACACATTAATTTACTGTATGTGCCTGACAATCACACTACCTGGAAATACTGTGTATATTGAGTTTATTTAACAGAAGCAGTAAAGCAGTTTTATGAACATTGGCAGGTTTATTTCAGTGACTGAGTGTAAATGTTAATTCTTCCTCTCAGTGTTTCAGTTCCTGGTGGTAATGTGTAACCGTCTCTAATGGTTAACTGCTGACACATGACAGCGATGTAAAGCTGCAAGTGTGTTTGGGTTACAGTGTGTGTTTGTGTTTCTCCAGGAGGTGGCGCTCCGGCAGCTGCCCATGGACTCTGATAATATGGCACCTGTGGCACCAAACATCAGCTCTCCACCAATGACGCAGGGCAACATGCCCAACAACAGCTCAGACCCCTTCCTCAACAGGCAAGTCTGCTCTTTACTCTCTTTAGTTTAATGTTAAAAATGAGTTTGACTTGGTCCAGATCTCCCAGATTGCTCTCTGAGGGTATGAAGTCGTGTTAAAGGCGTGTGTGTGTGTGTGTGCGTGTGCGCGCAGTGGGCCGTATCACTCGCGGGAGCAGAGCACAGACAGCGGGCTGGGACTGGGCTGCTACAGCATCCCCACCACTCCCGAGGACTTCCTCAACAGCATGGAGGAGATGGACACAGGTACAGCACCAGATAAAAAACCATGATAGAGCACGGCATTAGTGTTATTTTAGTTGTTATAGTACAGGGCTGTCCAAACTCGGTCCTGGAGGGCCGGTGTCCTGCAGAGTTTAGCTCCAACCCTAATTAAACACACCTGAACAAGCTAATCAAGCTCTTACTAGGCATAGAAACTTCCAGTCAGGTGTGTTGAGGCAAGTTGGAGCTAAACTCTGCAGGACACCGGCATGGTGGTGGCAGCATCATGCTGTGGGGGTGTTTTTCAGCTGCAGGGACAGGACGACTGGTTGCAATCGAGGGAAAGATGAATGCGGCCAAGTACAGGGATATCCTGGACGAAAACCTTCTCCAGAGTGCTCAGGACCTCATACTGGGCCGAAGGTTTACCTTCCAACAAGACAGTGACCCTAAGCACACAGCTAAAATAATGAAGGAGTGGCTTCACAACAACTCTGTGACTGTTCTTGAATGGCCCAGCCAGAGCCCTGACTTAAACCCAGTTGAGCATCTCTGGAGAGACCTAAAAATGGCTGTCCACCAACGTTTACCATCCAACCTGACAGAACTGGAGAGGATCTGCAAGGAGGAATGGGAGAGGATCCCCAAATCCAGGTGTGAAAGACTTGTTGCATCTTTCCCAAAAAGACTCATGGCTGTATTAGATCAAGAGGGTGCTTCTACTAAATACTGAGCATTTTTCAGTTTTTCTTTTTTAATAAATCTGCAAAGATGTCAACAATTCTGTGTTTTTCTGTCAATATGGGGTGCTGTGTGTACATTAATGAGGAAAAAAAATTAACTTAAATGATTTTAGCAAATGGCTGCAATATAACAAAGAGTGAAAAATTTAAGGGGGTCTGAATACTTTCCGTACCCACTGTATATTAAATACAGTACAACAAATACCACCATGGTGTACATTTTCAGGGGCTTTTGGGCCACCTACCCATGAAATTTGGTATTTATATGCTATACATAATGTATACTTACAGTATATGTTGCTTGTAAAGTTGGTGTAGATACTGTATCGTACATATATGTATGTATATGTATGAAACTCAGTACTTTATACCCACTTAAATGCATTTTTTTTCAATGGTAGTGTTGTGTCTTGCCCCGTGCATTGTTTATCAGTTACATGCTGTATCTCTTCTTGTAGATGCAAGGGATTATTTCTAAAATAAACAGTATAGCATGTTTAACTTTCCCCCTGCCAGTGATGGCCTGAGTTTGCAGACGCCTGCGCTATTAAGGGAATGAACATGATTGTTAGCTAGTTTTATAGATGTTTAGAGGGTAATAATTACCGTTTACGACTGCCAGGGAAATGATGTTTCCCGTCGTCTCGTCTGCAGGTGAGAGCATGGTGCAGGTCAGTATGAGCGTCCCGCCGCAGAGCCGTTTCCCAGACTTCCTGGACTCCATGCCTGGCACCAACGTGGACCTGGGCACCCTGGAGGGGGCCGACCTCATGCCCATCCTCAACGACGTGGAGTCGGTCCTGAACAAGAGCGAGCCCTTCCTGACCTGGCTCTAGACTCACTCACACCACACTAAAGACTTTTTTATATAAATACATATATATTATATTATATATTCAGTCAGCTCTAGTTTCACTTTTTAGGTGTCAGATTCGTTCCCTCACTTCACCACGAGTCGAAGAACAATACCAAAGTGTTTAGCCTGCGAACAAATAAGCGAGCACGCGTCAATCAAAGTGTAGTGGAGGAAGACAAGCGTGTTTGTTTAGTAGATTTGATTCTGACTGTGTTTGTGTTCAGGATGATCACATTGATAGCGGAAACGCCTGAGTAGTGTCTGATCAAGTTTAACAGGCACGCTTGTGTGTTTAACCCGGAGTTAGGGTTAGTCGAGCTTTACCGGGTGAGTCTCACCGAGCCTGTCAACAACGCATGCAAGCTTATTTCCGCCAAGGAATAAAATTATCAAAAGGTAATTGCGACTTTATTCACAATTTTGACTTTTTCTTGCAATTGGGAATTTATGTCTCACAATTCTGCATGTAGTCAGGTGTCTGAAAATGTAACTGAGAATTCAGAGAAAAAAGTTCGAATTACGAGATTTAAACACCCAATTGTAATTTAAAAAAAAGATAGAGTTACGAGATGCAAACTCACAATACTGACTTTTGTCTCAGAATTTAGTGTTTTTTTCGTAATTTTCACTTTTTCTCAGAATTGTTATTGTCCTCTTGCATTATTGACACACTATTTTCCTGTTTGATATTGTATAGCTGCTTTGACTCGATCAGTATTGTATAAAGAGCTATAGAAATAAAGGTGACTTGACTTGTAGTATTTTGTACATTTTCATTAATATTTTAAATTAGATTTAATTTTTATGTTTCCCATAAGTTTTATTAATTTTTTTAGTTTTTTAAAGTTTTAGCAAGTTTTAGATTTTTTTTTTTAGTTATTTTAGTATTTCAACTAAATGAAAATGAGAAATAAACTTAAAAAAACTTCAACTTTAATTTTAGCTAATAATTAATTTTATTTCATTTAATTTAATATTTATTTTGTTTAATATAAAAAAATATATATATTTTTTTTATTTTTAGGTTTAATTCGTTTTGTGGCATTTTGCACTGCATTATGACATGACAGTATTTTCACTTTTTATATAAATACATATATATTATATTATATATTCAGTCAGCTCTAGTTTCACTTTTTAGGTGTCAGATTCGTTCCCTCACTTCACCACGAGTCGAAGAACAATACCAAAGTGTTTAGCCTGCGAACAAATAAGCGAGCACGCGTCAATCAAAGTGTAGTGGAGGAAGACAAGCGTGTTTGTTTAGTAGATTTGATTCTGACTGTGTTTGTGTTCAGGATGATCACATTGATAGCGGAAACGCCTGAGTAGTGTCTGATCAAGTTTAACAGGCACGCTTGTGTGTTTAACCCGGAGTTAGGGTTAGTCGAGCTTTACCGGGTGAGTCTCACCGAGCCTGTCAACAACGCATGCAAGCTTATTTCCGCCAAGGAATAAAATTATCAAAAGGTAATTGCGACTTTATTCACAATTTTGACTTTTTCTTGCAATTGGGAATTTATGTCTCACAATTCTGCATGTAGTCAGGTGTCTGAAAATGTAACTGAGAATTCAGAGAAAAAAGTTCGAATTACGAGATTTAAACACCCAATTGTAATTTAAAAAAAAGATAGAGTTACGAGATGCAAACTCACAATACTGACTTTTGTCTCAGAATTTAGTGTTTTTTTCGTAATTTTCACTTTTTCTCAGAATTTGCGAGTTTACTTCTCGTTATTTTGACTTTCTCAGAATTTGCAAATTTATTTCTCGTTATTCTGACTTTTTTCTCAGAATTGCGAGTTTACTATCAATAATTCTGACTTTTTTCTCACAATTTGCGAATTTACTTCTCATTATTCTGACTTTTTTTCTCAGAATTGCGAGTTTACTTTCAATAATTCAGACGTTTTTCTCAGAATTGCGAGTTTACTTTCAATAATTCGGACGTTTTTCTCAGAATTGCAAGTTTATAACTCGCAATTTCAAGATATAAACTTGCAATTCCAAGAAAAAGGTCAAAATTGTGAGATAAAAAATCACAATTACGTTTTTTGGGGGGAAATAAAAAAGACATTTATATTTCTGGGCAGAAATAAGCTTTGATTAAAAAATATATGTATTTGGATCAATAACAAGAAGTTAATACCTAAAGAAAATTAAGCCCGTTTTTTATAGGACCATTAAGATATTTTGAAAAAATAATTAAGCACATTTGCCTTAAAAACACTAATGCGAATCATGACTGAGAATAAGAATTACAAACAAACTCAAAAATAGAACAATCAAATGTGTTACTGTAATGAGATTTTTTTGTATGACAGTAATGCAAAACGAGTTTTGTTGGTGTTTGTTTTTGATTTAGATGTTTTTAATAGTCAGAAAATCGTAATGGTTATTACGTTTTCATGAGGTTCACCCTGCTTTTTGCCAAATCAGTAGCACAAGTGTGCCTGTCAAAGCTTTACATTGTGACTATATATCCAACGAATAACTATTTCAGATGTGTTTTTTACTCTTATTCCAGTTTAGCTATTTGTGTGAAGCTCATGATGGCATTTGTAGACAAGCGTTTCATATCATATATGTTTTTATGTACTGCTACAGTATTCCTATTTTCTATTCTGTGCTCTTGACATCTGGTGCATTTAATTAGTTTGCAGTTTAGTATTTATCAAGAGCTATGAACTTCTTTTTAAATAGTTTTTAGATTTGTTTCCTTTTTTCAGGAATTTTAAATGTTTTCGAAGCACTACAAATATGCCAATACTGATCTAGTCCCTCGATATCTTCAGGGAATATCTATCTATAAGTATTTTCTGATACCAGAGATAATTTTGCCTTCATTTGGATGATTTTTGGGGCAGACACTTGTTTTTTTTTTTCTTGTTGATTTTAGCACCCCGGCTGAAATCCAGTTCAATATATAAACATATAAATATGTTGTTTTTTTTCTACACAGGTCTAATTTTTGTATTGCATGTTTGATCTGTTTGATATTCATAGCATCGGGGGGTGTATAGACCCACCTCACCGTGACTTCATTATTGTTTATGGTTACATTATAGGTGGGTTATGATGAATTGAAGTGTGTTGGATTTGTGGATTGTGCAGACAGGGTGATTTTTAGTAGCTGTAGGTCAAACTGAGCTCATGACGTCCTTCATTAGGACCGAACGGTTAAGTAGTGGGTCAAAAAGAGCCGATACGAGCTGTTCGCGAACCCGAGTGACCTCAGAGACGTCGGTTTCTTTGGTTTTGGACAACTAAGGATGAGATCGGGTCTCTTGAGTGCCAGACACTCAGCAAGAGGGACCTTTTAATGATTGAAACAATTTTCTATGATATAAACTGCTTTTCCAGAACTTAAATCATGCAATATCCCACAGAATTGAATATATATGGCTTTAGACACATAAAATGCTGGGGTGAGATGAAATCTGGTGTGTCATCTGTACCAGACTTATGTAGCGCTCCACACTTCAGCATGCTTTAGGTTTTTGTAAGATTTAATGTTGGTCACATGCTGGAAAGCTCAGAAAACAAACTGCGTACCACAGAAATATGATGGCGGTGTACTGTACGTGAGAAATGTGGTTGTAACCTCTATGAAATCTCTAAAATTGTCAGTGAAATCAAAAAGGAAAAGAATAAAATGGTTTTATTAGCATGGATGTGTAGCTGTGTTTCTTTGTGAATCAGTCCATTGACTTTGTCTTCATCAGCTGGTGTGGTAAAAACACAATTTATTACAATTTATTCTCATTGCTATTGGTCCCTTGTAAAAAGATATGAATTGTACTGAATGTGCCCTTGTGTATTTCATATCATAAAGGGATTTTTTTTTAAACTGTACTTGCAGATAATATAATATTAATAAATGTCCACCACTTAAGTGTATATACAGTACATCATATACAAGTTTCAACAGAAATTACATTAAAGTATATGGTATTTTAGTTTACCTTAAATACTTGTTAGTGCATTACGCATATTATAACCATAATTCAAAGACAATAGAAGTAATAATGAAAAAACATATAAAAATGTACTCAAATCCTACTCGAGTGGCTTAAAAAGCACTCTAAAGTTTATTTTATTCAATATAAATTTGACATATAATAAATTTTCATTTAATTTCAATTAACATGCAAGGGTCTGAAAACATGTTCTTGTAAAGTTAATTTTTTTATTAAGTACTAGTTTAAAAAGTATGTTAAAGTAGTTATTTTTCAAAAGGGATGCATGAATTTTTGAAGAGCTTTCCTGACATTTTTTTTTTTTTTTTTTGTTTTGTGCAAAAATGGTTACATTATAATCAGCTGGTGTGGTAAAAACACAATTTATTACAATTTATTCTCATTGCTATTGGTCCCTTGTAAAAAGATATGAATTGTACTGAATGTGCCCTTGTGTATTTCATATCATAAAGGGATTTTTTTTTAAACTGTACTTGCAGATAATATAATATTAATAAATGTCCACCACTTAAGTGTATATACAGTACATCATATACAAGTTTCAACAGAAATTACATTAAAGTATATGGTATTTTAGTTTACCTTAAATACTTGTTAGTGCATTACGCATATTATAACCATAATTCAAAGACAATAGAAGTAATAATGAAAAAACATATAAAAATGTACTCAAATCCTACTCGAGTGGCTTAAAAAGCACTCTAAAGTTTATTTTATTCAATATAAATTTGACATAATACATTTTCATTTAATTTCAATTAACATGCAAGGGTCTGAAAACATGTTCTTGTAAAGTTAATTTTTTTACTAAGTACTAGTTTAAAAAGTATGTTAAAGTAGTTATTTTTCAAAAGGGATGCATGAATTTTTGAAGAGCTTTCCTGACATTTTTTTTTTTTTTTATGTTTTATGCAAACATGGTTACATTATAAATGTTTTGGGGTTGAATTTTACAGATTTGAAGATCTGCAAAATCTTTGGTTAATGTGAATTTCCATATACATCACATTTTGTATGTGACCTATTTCCTAGCATGGTTTTCAATAAAAAAAATTAAAATCAGAAATTTATTGGATTGTGAAAAGTGGGCATTGCATAGAAGAGACCGAATAACATTCTGATAAAAGATAAAACAATTTCTTTCTTGCAATGATGAAAAATCACCAGGTACAGTAAATAAATGAAGAGCATAACAGTATAAGTAGGATCATATACTATAATGGCATGTAAATAAAGACTGTGAGAAAAGTTGGCTTCTTCTTTAACCATGAGGCCAAACAATTCTGATGCTGAATTAAAAGTGCATGGACAAAGCAAAATATAATGGGTAGATTATGAATGGGTATATGGGTCATGCCATGAAATCAGTGCCTTTTCCACTTGAAAAATAAATAAATAAATAAAATGTTTAATCACCATTTTTTAAATATCCATGAAATCAAGACACCTTAAAATAACAAGACATTGTATTGTGCCATCTCAGGCTATGTAATTTATTAATTTATGACTATTTTTCTACCTCATGTTTTGGTATTTTTGTCAACCCTGTTACCGACACAAAAAGGTTACTAGATACTACAGTTGTCAGGGATTCATCACAGTCACTTCAGTCGCCATCCAGGATAATCACCCGATCACAGTCACCTGAGTTCTGATCACCCGCACCTGCTGTCACCAATCAAGCCACAATTGGTTTACGGCGAGTGTGAGCGGAATATTAACGGGGCGCTTGCTTGGGCGGTTAGAGGTCCCAGCCGCCCTCGAGGACCTCTGTGGGGCCTGCATATTCTCCAAGCTGGACCTGCGAAGTGCATACAACCTCGTTCGAATCCGGGAGGGCGACGAGTGGAAGACGGCATTCATTAATTCTCCTAGAAAGACTTACCTTCTGTTCCTCCCGCAATCCTCCAACGACTCCTTGGAATCTGTTTCACGATCTCCAACGAAACCGGCATAAAATACTCACCATCAGAACTCAGATAAGAACCCTGGAATGATTCACTGTGTTGACACTCACCTGCCTTTACCTCACCCGTTCCATTCTTTTGCTAATCAAGTCAATAAACCATCCTGTTTTGCACTTACCTGTTGTGTCTGGCCTTGCTTTGTGACAATAGTTTAATTAGAGCTATGTGATAGTTTTTACATATATGAGAAGCATTTTAGTCACTCTTTTCACTGGGATTGTTTCAAATTTTGGATTTTTTTAATATCTATATTTATATTTGTCATTCAGATGACCAAGAACATCCTAATTTTGGAGGGTGACCACATGTCAATTAAGAATATATATATATACATATGTGATAGTTCAAGAACATCCTAATTTTGGATGGTGACCACATGTCAATTAAGAATATATATATATACACAAGACATTTAAAAAAGGACTTTGTCCAGAATAAAATATAGTTGCAGTTACAATGGAAATGGTAACAGTATTGACTGTTACAGAGGAGGCTCCCGTACCGCCCCCTCTGCACCACCAGAGGGAACCATCTCACCATCTCCTGAATATTAACCATCTCTTATTCGGACTCCATTTCCCATCATCCCTCATACCTGGGACAGATCACACACACCTGTACCTCATTACCCACACACATATTTAAGCCGCTTATACACACTGACACTCTGCGAAGTCTTGATTTGTCCTGGCTGTCATTACTGAGCGGTCTACCCGTGTTTGTTTTCCTTGTGTTTGACCTCGACCTGTTTCCTGATCTCCTGACTGTTCTCTGCCTGCCCTTACTCGGATTGTTCTCCTGGACTGTGTTTGCAAGCCGCCTGCCCTGATCTCTCACCTGTGTCATGACTCCATCCCTTGCCTAGCCTCTGCTGTATTGTCTTGTCTGTTATATTCGACCCCTGTATTGTCTGACTATCCCTAATAAAGCTGCTGATGGATCTAAACGCTAAAACTCTAAACTCTGCTGACGTGTCGCAACAGAGACAATGCATGATCCCCCCCCACCCCAGGTCAGGCCTCATAAATCATCAAAAATAGAACATGATAGAAGTGAGAGAGAAACATGCTTGTGTTGGAATCCAAGTTGAGAGATGATGTAACCGCCTAGCAATGATGTCACTTGGATGTACATTATTTTACAAGGGTTTTTTGATGAAGGTAATAGGGCTGACATGAAATCAGGGGACACCAATGAAAAGATTTAAATTTTATAGAAAAAATGCATACTTATGCCAAAAATATTGCTTAACAACGAGACTGTATTTAGAACAATATGCAAATGTGATTTTTATATAATTTTGCCTTCATTTTGCAAATTAAAAGTCCTGCTGAAAAAGAAAAATCATATAGTGAGCCAAAAACTTTAGCTTACCCATACCAGCATAAATGCTATTTAAATTATTTAAAATAATATTTAATTGACTTTTTTTAATGTAATATTGATGTAAGCATACATAGTATTGTTATGTTTTTAAATTGCAAATTTATTTGTTGTTAAATCTATGTTTGATTATTTTTAGGGATGCAAAGGACACCGATTTCGTGGAATAATTTTATAGAAAAAATGCATACTTATGCCAAAAACATTGCTTAACAACGAGACTGTATTTAGAACAATATGCAAATGTGATTTTTATATAATTTTGCCTTCATTTTGCAAATTAAAAGTCCTGCTGAAAAAGACTTTAGCTTACCCATACCAGCATAAATGCTATTTAAATTATTTAAAATAATATTTAATTGACTTTTTTTAATGTAATATTGATGTAAGCATACATAGTATTGTTATGTTTTTAAATTGCAAATTTATTTGTTGTTAAATCTATGTTTGATTATTTTTAGGGATGCAAAGGACACCGATTTCGTGGAATGACCCACATGCAAGTTAGCTTATTTTCCGATAAAAACAAACATTTAAAATTGCAATTATTTAATATGTTTCTGAGAGTGAGAAAACGTCATCCAATAAACTATTTTCTATATTAATTATTAATTTATAATTATGTATCCAGATTCATCATATGTCCAGCAGGTGTCTCAGCATCACCTCAACATGTTTTATTGAGTGAGTTATCTTATTAAAGTTAATCACATTTTACGTTTGCGTTTGTTACTGCTTAATTGGAAATTATATTTTGTGAAAATGCTTGTAATTACACAATGTTGCTGTTGTTACTACAAAAGTGATATTTGCAAAGTCTGCACTATTTGCTGTGAAACGTTTCTGTTGCACTGAGAAACAAGTCCATTCATCATGCAGCCACAAAAAGCCAGATAAAGTAGCTATCGGGAGAAGATTATCAGTAATAAAGCATCAGTCACATATGCATCATAGAGCATAAAGTTAATCATTCCTGTGTGAAGATGAGAGCTGTTACCTATAAACCCATCATAAAATAACATTCCCCTCATAAAACCCCTGATAACACATCAACATCACACTGGCGGAACAACAAACATTTACTTTAGCCAGAAAGCCTTCTCTCAATAATAGAAGTTATAACACTGCATAAGAACTCTTATCAAGTACGCTCTAGTGCGGTTTCAGCTTGCGCATCATGTTATTGCATGCTCTTTGCATATTTAGTTATTTAAAAAAAATGGTGCAAATCATCTTCAGCAGGCCAGCTGTTGTTTATGAAGTAACCCTGAACTCTCCAGAGTCTGTCAGGGTGCTTCCCAGATCCTCTCACTGTCCCTCCTGCTGCTTCCTGTTTTCTCCGAAAAACAAAACCTTGCTGAGTGAGACGGAAAAGCGCAAGTATAGCAACAAGGACAGCCATGTGGTGCTTTTTAAATCAAGAGTTTATTAAGTGTCAAATATTCTTTTACTAATATAGCAATACATTTCAACCAATTTCCTGAGATAAAATAATAAAAATCGTTATCTTTTATAAAATATTCCATATATTTGCACGTTCCCTTAATCCATCATGAAAAAAGACTAAATACTTGTATGAAAATAACATTCTCCTACAGTTTGAATAAACATTCAATATTCTTTTTACTATGTATCAATACACTATATATCAATATCCTATATCTATATGAAACATCATATATAGGCTATATATAACAATATTGCTGTATGTTGCCTTCATAAGCCATCAGCCGTCAGGCAGATACAGCAAACACGGAAGAAAACAACATCCATCTGAACAGTATAAATACAAATCATGAGGTGAGAAACTGTTGAGAAGTACAGATATGGATGTATGATCAGTCCTGAAGAGTCATTGATCCAAGTCCATTCCGAGTGGTTTAGGAGCTCTGCGGGAAAAAACACAAGGCTACGTTATTTCAACATGTCAAACTAATGGGGAATTTCCATCAATAAGGCCTGTGGGTGCTTTATTGTTATTGTTATTATCAGAGTTTGTGCGTACCCCGCAGCAGCCGCAGCAGTCTCCACAGATGGTGCCGATGAGCCCGTTGATCACCTGGAAAGCACACAGACCGATCTGAACCAGACCAGTGGCCAGCAGGATGCAGAACAGGGTCAGATGCCACGTGATGATATCGCCCGGACCCGTACATTCACTCCACAGCGTTCTGTTGGACAGGTAGTTCCTGAAAGGAAGAAACCAGGCGACATGTGTTAATCTTACAGCTACTGGTTTATTACTTGAGTCTTATTCATTTGATAATAAACACGCACCCGTCGACAAATGGGTAAGAGGCGTTAACTTGTTCTATGGTAGTGAAGCACTTGGGCCCGTGATTAATGGCCAGACAAGACACAATAACAGAGTAACCGGCGCCCACAGCTCCAGCCGCGGCGAACAGAATAGAGCTGAACATCTAGATGAAAACAAACCAAATGTGAAACACAAAACATACAGATACGACTTCCTGTTAGCTTTACTGTGTCTAATCTTGCATATTAGAATGTTTCTTCCTGTTTCTTTAATATAATGGTGCTTTGAAATGGCATGTGTTGCAAAAATCGCTTACAAGCAGGGTAAGAGTAAGAATATAAAAACGCAAATTTCTAATATTTTGCTCAGAAAGGCCTTTTTTGGTGGGAATTCGAAAATGTTTCAGTTCTCATGTCAGATATGCATGCATGTATGTACCAAGAGCTTCTTAAAAAAACACAACAAATTCCTCGCGTGTTTGCGCACACTTGCTGAATAAAACTGATTCTGATTCTGAATTCCCAAATGGCGGGAATAACGTGATCCTTGTTTTCTCACCGCGAAACGTTTTCCGCAGCTCTCATTCCCACAGCAGCCGCAGCAGTCGTTGTTCTTCAAGCCCAGGAAAACCAGCGCAGGGAAAATCATCTAAACAAAGACCAGCTCGTTACTTAAAGGTGAACGCTTGCCTATAAGGTCTTTTCTCCAATTAATAAAAGCCTTAAAATAAAACAAAAACAGTGAAGTACAAAATAAAAAATGACAAAAAATAGCTATAAAAAAAAACAACAACTTTAAAATACTAGCCTAGATACAAAAAAAAAAAAAAAAAAAGTTCGTAAAACATTCTACGAAAACTGTTTCTTTAATGAACTAACAGAAACTTTTTTTTTTTTTTTACAGAAATTTGAGCTCAAATTAGAGTTATTTGATACTGATAGTCTTTTGTTTTACTCTGTTCCTCTTACGAGAAGTTACTTGCATTTGCTCATCCACTCACCACCACACCAGATCCCAGAATTCCTCCAAAGTAAAAGACTTCTTCTGTGATGTCGCTGCTCTCATCGGCTACTTTACCACCAGGGAAAAACAGCATAATGTTGCAGATGACACAGATGATGGCCAGTGGGAGGAGGGTTATCCCCAGGCATTTGGCGAAATTTCCAGAACACATAATTTAGTCTTTGCTAAAGTCAAATACAGTCCTAAATAGGGAGCGCGATGGGTCTGGCGTCTCTGAGTCCTTTGTTCGGGTTAGGCGTCCGTTCCTGTGCTTGTGCAGGTGAGTATCGGTGTGTGGATTTATACTCTCCTGCTGCTGTGATGTCAGTGATGGGCACCTCTCTGTAAATGTGTAACTGTGGTGTGTCCTGCACCTACAGAGGTGCGTTCATCTATCAGACCCCTCATACTATCAGCACTGAGTCACTGCGGCCTCACCTTTACATGCAACACTTGATCATGATCCAACAGCAAATAAAACATTTAGACACATCAATGTACCATGAACACATATGATAATTTGACAAAACTTTGGATGGTAAATGGTGTGGATGATGCTCTTTTAATAATAATCTTTTGTTGTGCATCAAAGAAGTACACTTACAGTATTTTGATCTGCTGACTAACATACACGTTAAATACTTTGTACTAATTGTAACTTTTAGCTACAAATATTCTTCATTACAAATGCATTTAAATATGCTGTCATTTCTATTGACACATACATTGTATATCTCAGTTACCATAAATGCTTGTCAATACATTCAGCAGTGCACTTTAACTATATTTCCAAGACAATGGAAGTAATTCTGAAATTACTTTTAAAGATGTACTTAAGTCCTACTTAAGTGGATCAGAATACTCTAAAGTTCAGCTAATTGCTTTTAATGCAAATCAAATGCAATCAATATAATATATGTTAAACTATTATACTTTTCTTTTGTTTAAAATGCATTTAAAAGTTCGAAAACATTACATTCATTTTTTTTAAGTATGTACTTTTAAAGTATACTATTTCTGTAATAAGTGTTTTTAAAAGTAGGCTGTAGTGTACTTTTATTTTTCAAGAAGAGACAGAAGAGACGGCAAGAAAGAGGCGAGGTGGATATAATAACAGCCGCTGTAACTTCATTAACAAAAACAAAGAAGTTATTCCAACATGAATCCAGTCCATAGGAGAAAAACAATATAACAACTTCACATCAAGCAAGGAGTACTAAACTGAGGGCTTAAATATACAGGGAAAAAAACAAACTGAACAAGAAACAGGTGCACTAATCAATCAGTAACTGTGACAACAAATGAGGAAATGAACACAGGGAACTGAAATGAACATATCACAAACACAGAAGGAAAACTAACAGACCAAAGGGGTATTCTAAAAAGCAGGTTATGTGACATACCCGGGTATGTTTGAGGATAAGCGAGCAGATAACCTCAGCTTTCGGTTCCAAAATCGGAGGTTACTTTCAGGGTATGTAAGTAACCATAGTAACTTGCTCTCTGAAGATAACCTGCGGGTTACGTTCCAGGGTTAGTTCACTTCAGCGCACGTGTGATCTACAGACGAGCCTTCAGTGGGCGTGACAGATAGCGCACAACATTATATAATATTACAATATGTAATACAGCCTATTATATATATATATGATATGATATGTTAATGATGAAGCGCTAATACAAGTAATAAAGAAGGTAATATATTATTCTAATATGGTTATTATATTCATTTTATTGGCATATATAACAGTTATCTGTATAAATTATTACAGCTTTCACAGAGCATAACTTCTGTACAAATGTTTACTTTGACTTGACAGGCCAATAAAGATTATTTTGTAGGGCTTTACAGCCCAACATTTACAGGTTTTTAACTAAATTTTAGTTTCCAGTGGCAAGGCTTTCTCATTTGACCGTTCGCATCGAGCTTGATTGACAGGCGATCTGAACAATCGGCCTCCAGAAGCAGCTCAAGGAAAGTTGTTCACTTTCAGGCGAGTCACCAGCTGTGTCCAAACACCTCATGAAATTGTGCCACAAAGCTGTCGGGCGATTGAATGATAGGTCCAGCTTGCTGCCATATTGTTTTTGCCCATTGCAGCGCTCGTCCTGTGAGCAGAGACAGAATATAGGAGATTTTCACTCTTTCAGTGGGACAACGACGGGACTGCGAGCCAAAAACACCATTAACGGTGTCAAAGCTAACATGAAGTCATCTCACACATGGATCGGCATTTTCTATAATGTCTCAATTCTAAATCAAAATGCATATCTGATATGACTTAATATATAATTAGCATCAAACAAACAATATAATTCATATTCTCAAGGATTAAAGATTAAACGAAAAAAAAAATTAAAAATGATTGCACAACCATCAATTAGGTGACGATATGCACTAAGCATGTAAACGACCATTGAACAAAAGAAGAAGAAAGAAACAGCATGGCGTGCTTTTTCTTAGCGTCCGTTTCCATAGTGACTCGTCGATTCGTTGCTCTGTTGTGAATGTCTTGAGTCTTAACCAGGAACATACTCCGAGTTGAATGAACTTACTCCCAGGCGCGTTTTTGGAACCACATACCTCGAGTAAGCAAGGTTTGGGGTTAATCAACCGAAAGTTCAGGGTTTAGCGGACGGTAAGTTAACCGTGCTTTCTGGAATACACCCCAAAACTAAATAGACATAAATATTTATGTTTCTACTATTAAACTTGCACACATATAGTATTCATCAGACCCAGTTAAAACATACATGATGTCCCATACAGCTTTCACAGAGCATAACTTCTGTACAAATGTTTACTTTGACTTGACAGGCCAATAAAGATTATTTTGTAGGGCTTTACAGCCCAACATTTACAGGTTTTGAACTAAATTTTAGTCTCCAGTGGCAAGGCTTTCTCATTTGACCGTTCACATCGAGCTTGATTGACAGGCGATCTGAACAATCGGCCTCCAGAAGCAGCTCAAGGAAAGTTGTTCACTTTCAGGCGAGTCACCAGCTGTGTCCAAACACCTCATGAAATTGTGCCACAAAGCTGTCGGGAGATTGAATGATAGGTCCAGCTTGCTGCCATATTGTTTTTGCCCATTGCAGCGCTCGTCCTGTGAGCAGAGACAGAATATAGGAGATTTTCACTCTTTCAGTGGGACAACGACGGGACTGCGAGCCAAAAACACCATTAACGGTGTCAAAGCTAACATGAAGGCCTTATACTGATGGTAATGGACTAACGAAATCCAAATTCAGTTTTTACCACACCAATGTTTTTATGGACCCTTGAACTTTGCATATTATATACAGGTGCATCTCAATAAATTAGAATGTCGTGGAAAATTTCATTTATTTCAGTAATTCAACTCAAATTGTGAAACTCGTGTTTTAAATAAATTCAATGCACACTGACTGAAGTAGTTTAAGTCTTTGGTTCTTTTAATTGTGATGATTTTGGCTCACATTTAACAAAAACCCACCAACTCACTATCTCAACAAATTAGAATACTCCATAAGACCAATAAAAAAAAAAGAACCAAAGACTTAAACTACTTCAGTCTGTGTGCATTGAATTTATTTAATACACGAGTTTCACAATTTGAGTTGAATTACTGAAATAAATGAACTTTTCCACGACATTCTCATTTATTGAGATGCACCTGTAATTACAGTTAAATCAGCAAAGTAATTTCACGGCCACATGATGGATGCATTAAACTCTAGTATTAAGCCCTCGTTAGCTTTGGTGTTCGAGAAAGGATTGGGAGCATTTTCTGTTGTGGCTGGATTCCACAGTGTTGTTATTTTATATTTGCTTTTTAATGTTCATTGTGTTGTGCACTACTGGGTCACAGTACTGAGACCTTCTAGGGAAGAAGGTTAAGAAGTTAAGAAGTTGTTCAGTGATGTATAACGATAAGAATATGAAGGGAAAGAGATGTTCTACGTGACATGAAATAATGATTGATTTTCACGTTTTTTTTTTGCGAATTTCTAAAGTTTTCCAATTTGTCAATTACTTAGGGAGGATTTATTGAACACCCTTAAAAATATGGCTCCAAAAACTGCTCAACAGAAGAACCATTTTGGTCCCCTAAAGAACCTTTCAGTGAATAGTTCTTAAAGAACACATTTTTTTTCACACTATGAACATTTTTTTTAAGTAATTAACCTTTTACTCCCTTCTGTGGAACAGAAAGGTTAAACCAAACTGGCTAAAGTGTTCAGTCATGTTTTAGCATTTGCATATCCATATGTGTGTCCAATCAAATGCTCTCAAAAATGAAAATGTCCCTCCCACCCTTCAAAATGACCAGAAACAACTTCCTGCATTAAAAGGAAATAGCATCTTTAAGAGTCTATAAGTTGGATCATGTGGACAGGGTTCTGCCAGTATATGAAGGAAACTTCAACATGCACACATTGGCTAAAATAAAATAGGACTTGATCATGTTTTCAATATATCCACTGGCGAGGCTGAATAACAGCTCACCCCTGTGACCCGCCACACCCTGAATATCCTCGCCTCGATTCTGGCTGTTCATTCAGTGTATGGTTGGCTCAATTCCCAGGGTCGCTCCATGGAATATCTGCATTACTTTTGTAGGAGTTTCCCCTTTCATTCGTCATTCCTCTCAGCACAATCTTTCAAGAATCTTTTAATCAAAAAAAAAAAACACCTGTTTTTTTCTCCATGAACTGTGTAATGGTGGCATTATACTCTAAATACAGTATGTTGTTTTTGTATGAGGATTATACTGTATATATCATATAATTCATAGAGTTAATAATTTATGCATTTAACAGACACTTTTATCCAAAGTGACTTACAGTGCATTCAGGCTATACATTTTTTACCAGTATGTGTGTTCTCTGGGAATTGAACCCACAACTTTTTGCGCTGCTAATGTAATGCTCTACCACTGAGCCACAGGAACACTTATCTTATTAACATTTATTTATAGGAGTTATTTTATTGTTATATACTATTATAGTATTTAATAATATTTCAAATTACAGTTTCTATCATATAATAGTTGTGTAATAGTTATAGTTTTCTATTACTATTTACTATTATGTCTATTAAAACTATAGTTTTATAGTGTTCAGTTTTCATCTTAATTTTAGTAATTTTGTCAAGGTCTTGTTTTATGACAAGTTTTTTGTAATTTTTCTATTTCTATTTCTATCTATATTTCAGTTTTAGTAATTTATCAATTTATTTTTAGCAATGTTATGTGCTTGTCATTTATTTATTATTTAGC